AAATTTTGGGATTGTGCTTTGCCTTTTTCCTCTATCTCATGTCTCTGTGTGGGAAAACTTAAAGCCACCATCGGACAAAGGTTTTGAATTCATGTGCAACTACATTCTGCTTGTGTCCAACCTGTTTGCCTTCATATTAATTGGATGCTAGAAAAAAAAAAAGGCTTGCTTTAAGGCTTGTCGAACTTGTTGACTGTGTCTGAGGATTATTGAGCTGACCTTTGATTTCTTAGGGACATCCTCTTACAGAACATGCTTAATTAAATCAGAGCAAGATGTTAATTTAAGAAGTGGAGCTGGGACGTTTGAAGAGTTCACTCTGTGGGGGCTTGGGGAACAGAATGAGCAGGATTAACTGTTTGGTAAGACTTCCCTTTGGTAGAATGATTCCCTCCTGACAAATTACTTAAGAAGCGGCAGGACAGCACACTCCACTGTAGTACACCTGCCTGCTCAAGTCCTGCTGCACCACTGTGTTGTAGAGAAATGCAAATAATCCCCCAAAAGATCAAAATCACAATGCCAATGATATCTAAAGGTGCGCTACCCAAGAAGTGAATAGCAGAGATTGTGTTTGAAGCACATCCCAAAATACTGAAATGATCCTTTAAAGTTTCAGTGTGTAAGTATTAGTAGCATCTAGTGGTGAGGTTTGTGAATTGCAAACAGTGGCTCACGGTGCATTCATGTGCTCCTTGAACGGTTTTATTTCCCGAGTTGTGAAGTCGTTCTTCCGACTTCAGTGTGTGTTCATGTGCTGTTGAGTCGGAATGTGGAATTAACATGGACGCTATTACAAAGATGTGTTGGATTAGCATTATCAGAGCATATAAACAACACGCAGACATTAAGTTCACTTTACATGGACAGCAAACTAACCGTTACAACCATATTACAAAGTACATGTTTGCAAAATATGTATATGCAACATGTGATTTTGCACGAATCTGATTACATTTACCATTTCACAGTGATGGCAAAGCCAGCATGCGAGCAAACAAACACTCGTCTTCTGAAAACAATTACTAAACGCTGATCTAATCAAGTTAACCTTCCTTAGCTAGTAAACTAGTAGCAAGGTAATGTTTGATTGCTGATGCTGAGCTAAAAATTATAACCGTCCATTATAAGGCTAATGCACATAGTCATACAGTTTCCAATTCACCTTACCCACACGTGTTTGGACTTTGCGAGGATACAGGGGTATTGTACAATTTACCCGTTCATTGCCACTCATTCACAGCAAACTATTCAGTTCCTGTAAGGCAGCACACATTACTGAAAGCCAACAGGAAAAAAAGTTTTTGAGGGTGCTTTTTAAGACATGATTGTCTAAGCACAGCGATTGGGAGCAAGATGAAGTGTAACCACAACTGTTACACACTGTTAGTCCAAAGTACAACCATAGCTATGTTTGATGAACAGAGAGACAGAGTGGCCATCGGGCTGGGTCACTCTCCAAGCTACTGCAGAGCTTGTAATTGATGCTGAACTCTTTGATTTAATAAACTTTTATGATCAAGAACAGTGTCAAGCGGGTTTCCTCTCAACACATCATCGCAGCATTATTGTTCGGACACCACAATACCCAAGTGGAAATGTCTTTTAAATGTTATTTAAGTCATTATTTTGTGTAAAAACAAATAGCAGCAGGTTTGAGTGATTGTTGTAAGGGAAAGCAGCTTATCAACTCAAGTGGTTAGTTAAGATCTGTGCTTATTTTGTGTGATGCAACAGGTATCCTGTAGTTGTAGAATACATTGAGGTGATCCTCAGTGCAGTTTGACTTCGGCTTTCATGCTGCATTCTCTTTCTGTCTTTGTCTTAATTTGTCTTTTTCTGTGTGATCCATTTTGTCTACCTCTTACACTGTCTTTATCTTCCTCTCATTCTCACCATACTCGCTTCTCTTGACTCTGTTTCTCTCCACTTCACTCTCTACCCAGGCATCCCATCGCCCAACTGATCACCCTCTCATACTCGATGCCCCCCTCCCCCCCATCCAAAGACGCCCCCGGCTGCGTCCTAGTTACCCCCCCTACAGAGATAAGAGCTAATTGGAAATCCCTATACTAATTAACCTTCTCCAGGCTGAAAGGTATTTATATCCTCTGCTTTTTGATGGAGCGATAGAAAGAAAGAGAAGGGAGGGGAAGGGCAAGAGGAGGAGGAGGGAAAGGGGGGGCGAGAGAGCTGAGAAATTAATGTGAACAAGTGGGTGGAATATAATGGATGTTGGTAGAAGGTGGGTACAAGTAACTGAAGGAGGAGAGTGAGGTATAGATGCCAAGGTACAAGATTTAGCCTTTTAACATAATATCAAATTATCATTTCTAATTTCTTAATTTTGTGACAGAACAATAAGCACCATGAGCAAACAACACCATTGCTCAGAAGACTGTCAGCTATCAGTTTTCTGTTCTAAATTTACATTTAGAGTTACCAGGGGGTAGAGGCCCCAATAGAAAAAGAACTTTCAACATGTTTATGTTCTTCAGGGAGAGGGAGGAGGAAAGGCAATCAACAGGGGCTTATGGGAAACTAATTTGTAGAAACATTGCTCTTGCAATACCACATCTGTGAGATACAGATTAGCAGTTTGTTTACCAATCATTTACCATGATTATGTGTGTTAGCAGCAATTATATTAAGATGTATGGTTAATTTGACATGAATATATTTTTAAAATGCTACATTTAAAAGGGGGTGGTGGTCCAGCAAGGCGCAATTTAAGAACGTGCAAGCTCTCATCCCTGGTGGATGATTTTGTAATGTGAATGCTGTGTTTTTGCTGTTTCCCTCACAAAAATATTGAAAATAAAATATACAAAATATAGAATAGTTGCAGCTGTCATAACTTTCTAGAGTTGTAAAGACCTGTCTTAGGTATTACAAACTGTTGTGCAGTGTGCTGGCATCTTATAATCCTTCTCATAATGCTTTAATTGGTTACTCCAACTGGACTTCTTGGATCCTTTATCATTTTCTCACTGGTATCTTAAACAACCCAAAGGTTTCTCTTGAACCTCTGGCCACACCCAACATCACAGCTGCATGGTATTAGAGTACCATGGTACATCATACCATATAATAGACATGATGAGGTTTTCTTTCTCCTTAAAATAACAACTTTTTAAATAACTTCATGTATCTCCAATATTTTCACTTTGAATGAACTTACAACGATTGTTGTAAGTTGACTTAAAAAAATAACATATTGAAAGCATATTTCTCTGATCTACATGACAAACATTAAGTTAAGTTTACCATCTTCATTACACAGATAAATGTATCACTCTTACTTATTCTGCCATAACGCTAATTGGTTAGGGCAAAAATAACAACCCCTCCCAAATACAAAACAGCTAATGAGAAAACAACATGATCATCAGGCTTACAACAACCACGCATCATTGAGTTTATTCAGTTGATTTTGAAAGTTGTTTTCCATTTCATACAGATGGTCTTCAGTGCAAGGTAAAAAAATGTAAACAAACCTACAAGTTACCTACAAACATTTGACTTATGAATATACATACGTGTATTTTGTGACAAACATATTTTATTAAAGTAGTGTTAAAGCTCAGGTGGCGTTACGCTCCACTGTATCCCTTTATAAGACAAAGGACAGCGTGGATTTTAAGCAAGGGAGAAGATAATGAAATTTAAGAGGAGCAAGAGTGACAGACAGTGAGTCAATCAATCACTCAGTGAAACAGTGTCTAGCGCGTAGCAGAAGGTACTGTAATATATGGAGGGGGCGGGGGGTGAAAGATCTCAGGAGACGAGAGAGGAGAATGGGAATCGTTTCAGGTTTCTATCATTTGCCATGCCACCTTTCTCTTCTCACCCCCCACAGCTGACGGGGGTCTGAGAAGGGTCAGGTTACCTGGCTGTCGCCCAAACCGCAAACCAGCTCCACAATGACTGCTGCATAGATTTTGGAGTACCAGTTTTCACTGATCCTCACGGTGAACATGTTATGGTTTTTGTTTCTGTTAAATTGTAGCTCCTAAGTCAACTGTCAAGTCAAGGCCAGAAGGGGTTTTGTCAATGCGCTGATGTTCAGAATTCAGTCACGTACCTTTTGATTCTGTTTGGAGCTGCCAATTATCACATTTTGCTAATGCATCTTAATACTAAATAATAAATACAGTGTGGGCACTTGCCCATGATTCATTAGCAGGACAAGCTACATGAGTCAGGATTGTATTTCACATACAGTAAATACATGATTTCCGTTTGGTGGAGAAGATGTTAAGAACAAAAAGCATCCAATGTGTCAGGAACAGGCTGCAACAACAAAACAACTCCAGGCTTTGCTTTAGGAACAGAGGCTTTATCTATCTTTTATAAATACCGGTAATGCTGCTGGCCAAAACTGGTTAGCCAAAGTGTTTCAGTGGGTCAGGCTGATGCCAAGGATGGTTTTCTGGTTCAGATGTAAAGTGTAAGTTTGATTGTGCACTGCTATGCAGTCTGAAATATTGCAGCTCCAGAGGCCAGTTGTGAGGTCTGAAGACAAAAGCAGCTGAGAAGCAATTGTCTACAGTGAAGTGCACCACACACTGAGGTCTCTTCTGCTAATACTGAGTTTGTTGGCTATATTATATTGCAAAACACTGACAGATGGCCTGGTAAGCAGGTAGTTTCAGCCAAGCAAAATGTTTTGGGAAATAGTGTATTTCCCAAAACATAAAAGTTGAGGGTATAAAAAGTTAATTACTAGTAGAAAACATTCAACAAAGCTCAGACACTTTAAGGTGCATGTACAAACGGAGAAGGGGAAAATGGGGTTAATCAAACCAATAATCCTTGTATCTTGTTGGGAGATCAATTTGAAGAAACAAGGATGATTTGCAGCTCTCCAGGATCTAGACATACTGTATAGCACTAACTTGGACCCACTGAATTTGACCACATGACTGAAGGTTCCTGTCTGCATTCAATTACACAAACATTATATCTTATCTTTACATAAAGTTTTGTTTGTTTTTCAGTTGAAGAGCCCGAGCTTCACTCGTCTCCATGCGCCCTGGCCGGTACTATGTCGAGAGGCTGAATTTCTCAAGATTAAAGTCCCCACCAAGACGGTGAGCTCTCAGTACCAAGTTATGTCTTTTTTAAGCAGTCAGTGGAAACAAACATTATGTTTCTGGGTCCATCTACAGTTGTTGTTATTTCTGAGGTCAAGATAGACAGCAAAGTAACAATGCAGTTACAGTAGAATTTGATAGAAAAAATGTGTCAGCATTCTAAAACATATTTGGTAAATGTAAGATTTTAGTGTTTAGTTAATCATCCCTATACTGATATTTATACTAATAATGTAGTCGGGTCTCATTTCTACAGGCCTGCTCAATCCTTGAAAAGTATAGTTTCTTCAGACCTTTAAGGCACTTTGAACATCTCTGTCCAACATGTGAAATAAGTTGACTAATTCTGTGTTGTGTGCTTCATCAGAGTTATGAACTTAAAGAGGAAAGTGGGTTCGGGTCCAGCGTGAGCTCATTCTGGAGGAAACTGAACCACCCTTTCCAGCCCAAAGTACATCAGGAGCACGGGCGCATCAAATTTCTCTCACACTGCTTCTCTAGGGACAAACTCCACCAGTGAGACACACACCACACACTAACACTATGTAACTTTTGAAAGACCGGCACATTATTTCTCTTAAAAACATGTTAAAGCCTTACATGGTCTGGTAACAGTAGTTGATGTGGCTAATGTTGGCAAAGGTACGTTATATATTGTTCTGTAACTGACAAATCATTTTGCTGACTTTAGGACTCTTTTCTCCTTATGCTAATGATGCACTGCATTTAACATCATCATGCAGCCATCTTGTGGCCATGCAGCCGCTATTTAGCAAATGTTACAAAGGCTCATTTGAAAGAAAATAGAGATTTTTGAATGATTGCACTCTTGGTCAACATACTGTACATCTACCAAGTGATAAGAACAGAATTTCATGTCCCTGGTTTATTGTTGCAGTGATAGTAAGAAATCAGTATTATTTGAAAAAATTAGATCCAATAACATCTGAATGAAAAGATGTCTTATGATATGTGGCTTAGACTGGTTGTTTTGGACTTGGTTTTAAATAATATGAACAAAGTTTTATAGTATATCCCTTACCCTTTTAAGTTAAATCCTTATATGCACTACGTATAAGTATAAATCATCAGACCCAGTGATCTATTGGGCAGACGCATCACATTTTGGTGATCTGATCAATTAACAGGACAGGAAGGTTCCATGTGATACACTATAATAATATATGGATTTAAAGATGGTCGCACAGAAAAAGCCCACATTAGTATGCATAACGTTTTTTATTCATCGGTTGTGTTTTTGTTTTTTTCAGGTATAACATCAAATGTAAAGACACATTCTTTGACAATGCCACAAGGGCCCGAATAGTGAGTATACATTCATAATCAAATTTGTTTTTGCCTCATGTGGTTTGTATGTCCAGTCTAATATTCTTACATCTTTGTTAGGTGTATGAGATCCTGAGACGGACGGTGTGTGTACGGACATGTCAAACCATAGGTGAGGATAAAAAACTCTTCATAGGTAAAACTATGTGTGCTTGTGTGTGTCTGGTAGGAGTTTCCCAAACATATGCAGCCTTTTTCAGCCCTATGCATTCATGTTGACATGTACACTTTGACTTGGTCAGTGTTTAAGTGAATGACGTTAGGTGGAGCCATTCTGACTCTATATGCTTGCTGCTGGCGTAAGCATCTGACACATGGTCAATGATTTTTCCATTATGTTCCTAGTCAAAAATTGTGCACAAAATAATTGATTGCTTTAGCAATCAAAGCTGTTGGCAAGCAGCAGGAATTGTAGCAATGCAATCTGAAATCCTCCTCCCGACCCCTTGAAGTATGATGGCCGTTAGCTGGCATAGTTGGCAGCGTTGTCTAATGTTGGCGGTACGTTGTAAAAAGCACAGAGGTCTGTAGAAGAATCTACAGAAGAGGTCATGAATCACAAAACTTGTAGTGGCTGTATTGTGACGCTGTTCACTGATTCATTCTTCTTCATCCAACATCAGTTCAAAATGCAGGTTAATATGAGGTCGGAGTATTTGAAACTTGATTGGTTTGAGAGTTTTTGCTTTAAAATCATGCCTAGAAAATTAAAATCCCAGCAACATGTTCTGTAATAGTTGAGAAAGCCACAGAAAATGATCAAAAATTCAATCAGCCCCCAGCACGTATACTGTGCTCAAGAACAAACCGTGTGTATTTTCCCATTTTAAGGTTGAGATCAGAAAGGCAAAGCAGGTGGAGTGGAACACTTGTGTAACATCTTTGGCAAAGATGGCTGTCAGTTGCAGTTCAAGGTTGTGCTGAAACTCTCAAATACAATTGGACTGTGTTGGATGGACTACAGGTGAAGTGGGAGGTGATATTGATATGCCTGCTGGGAGTTCATTGGGGAGGTGAAGTGAAGTGGAGTGCAGTAGACGCAAACAATGATTGGATAATTGCATGAGATCAACATCTTTTTAACCCTAATTTGTTTGTTTGGGCGTTGTAGCAACAACCTGTTCCCACCAGGCTGCTCCTAGAAACTGGCTTCGCTCATTAACACCTCCTTCAACTGCAGTTGTCCACAGGGACAACTGGCAATTAAAATCCAGGCTTACCTCAGCAGCGGTGTCAGTTGTTTATGACATTTGTAAGCAAAATTTTACAAAGTCTATTGAGATGGCAACAACAGCTACAAACGCCTCCAAATATCTAAGAAACACAAAAAAATAGTGTCAATAAGACTTGAAATAAAGGTCTACCGCTGTCTGTAAGAGACAAATAAACCCCTATGGGGATTTACGAAATGAACTGGAATACATTCAGCACACTATCTGTAGCTAACAGCTGCCTATGCATTTATGACACCCATCAGTCCCATATAGAATGTGAGCTGACACCCGTTTCATTTCCAGTGTCCACCGTATGTCTGTTTGGCTTCCTCATCATAGCAGAAGGTCTCAGCCAGCGGGTGCTGATGGAGCTGCAGGGGGAAAAGGGAGAGAAATTAGAGTTGCATCTCGTTAACCTCGATTTCCTCTTTCCTCTTGATTATTGGTGTATACACTTTGTCACAAACATACACTCACCCACGTACCCCCCCACACACACACACAGCCCACTCCCTGTGTCTCTGTTGCCCTCCTCCATCTCCTCTACAAGTGGGTCATACTTCCTGGGTCAGGCTGAGATTGAAACAGGGGCCTCTGCGAGTTGTGGTTGTTTCTAGCTGGTTAAGTGGGTGTGTTGGTCGTGAGTTTCACAGCTAATCACTACATAGTTCCCAGTACCCTGATAATTAACTGATTAATTACTTTGATGACAGAGTCAGTTGTGTGTGCAGGTCATGTGGTGTGTCATACTAAAAGTTGCACTGCATACTGCAGATACAGCTAGTGTGCAAAGGAGACTGTTTAAAACATGGCAAATCTTAGCCCCCATGGCCAGTGTGAATACAGGGACAATTGCTATGTTCAGTTTTCATATAGAATGGATAAGGAAGTGGAACACAATTTATGACATTTAGAGTGTAATGGTTTTGACATTGGTATGGTGTGAAGAGGAATTTCATCTTCAGGAAACAATAAAATATCAAACCAACCGTGTGCAGCACTAGATTTAAGAGACAGACGGTGCTCTTTTTTTAATGGCTACCACTTTATTTCACGCCACATCTTGGAGCCATTTGGTGGATACTCACTCCTTAATACCAGTGACTCAACTATTACTTCACCAGCTGCTCAGATGCCTGGTTTAAAACTCCAATCTTCAGTCAAAGAAGTCCCGCCCTACTGAAGTTTTGAAGACAAATAAAGGTTAAACTATCAATACTTATCTCCAGTGGATACAGTACATGATTTACATAAAAGGGGATGATTTGGATGACAGAGCAGGAGGAAAGGAAAGCACCTCATTCAAACAATCCCTTGGGTTTTATGTCTCTGCTGTCTCTCTCTCTTTTCCAGGAATCAGCACATTGATAGCTAAAGGCGTGTATGATTCTGCCTTCCCGCTTCATGATGTAAGTGTGAGGTTTGGAATACCCACTAGACGTCCATTGGTTTCAATTAAATTCATTGTGATGTTCAACTTGCAGAGAATGGAAACTTGCTTGAAAAAGGAATCACAATCAATGCTTTGTTGGATCTCATTTTTTGTCGACCTTGTATCATATTTTTGTGACCCAAGAGCTAGCGGGTACAGGGGCATTTGTCCATGTAGCTGTGTGAATGAAAATGAAAATGAAAGATAAGACCAAATTCAAATTTTCAGCAGCTGGCGCTAATATTCTCAAATGTTGAAGCTATCTAAAAGCATATTGAAAGCACGAACAAGGAAAGTGACAAAATTGTTCTGAAAAGAGGTAAGGAAAGTAAACATGAGTTCCAATTAAGATGCTAAAACCAGTTTGGTACTTTTGGTTTTCAGAACATTTCTTATGACACTCTGTGCTGCCTGCTAGACAGATTTGAATGTTGAATGATTAGTTTTAAGTGTAGTTGGACAGTTTGTGTTTGATTTTATTGAATGTATTTTTGCAGCTTATATGTGTGTGTTAATGTGTGTATTTCTAAATGTTTGAGTGAGTGAATGAATGATCCCCATTACAGATCTCTGTGTGTTTGCATGCCCTGGTGCCCTCATGCGGTTCACCCTCTCTCTTTTCTCTCCTTAGGGTGACTATAAGGTCATCGGACACCTTGAGGAGAGGAGTGACAGACAGGTAGGCCAACTCCTCTTTCATTTCTCTCTCCCTCTGTTCTCTCTTCTTCCATCTGCTTCCCTCCCTCCTCCTCTCTATTTGTCTGTCCCATGAAAACTGCAAAAAGTGAGCTACTGTAGACTACCACTTCTCTAGGGCTTCAGAAAGTGACCTATGCTATCAAAAAGGGAAATTGTCTGTCATCTGAAAGTCTACTGTACAACACCTTTAAACTTGCAACAGCTGAAAAGCAAGAACAACTTTTCTAAACAATAGTTTCGTCTATGTAATTTCCATCTCATATCCTTTCTTCTTTCTTCTTTGAGACTGTTCTTCCATCCCATCTGCCTAACACTGTCACAGATTGGAGTTTAAGTTCAGTCAATATTTCTCAGAGGCAGAGCTGTGCTCAAGGCAGAAAGACAACATTCATTGACTGACATGAATGACAAACAAACAAAGACCCTTTTTTTGGAGTCAGCAAACAACAGCAAGCAACAAACTCTGGTCAAAATAGAAATGAAATATACAGATAGCAACTTCTCCATTCAATCATGTTCCTGGCATTTATGTTAAACCAATCAACCAGTCAAACTGCAGTTCTATGGCTTCATCCACTGAGGTTTAACTTGACCGATCAGATGATTTCTGCCTCCAGATCAGCTCTGGTTTTGAGGAGTGTTTGTTTCAAACATAGAACACGACAACATACGCCCATGCTGACTCTCTTTCCCGTCTGTTTTCAGCTCCTGCATGAAGAGTGGGCCAGATACTCAGCCTTCTACAAGTACCAGCCCATTGATCTGGTCAGGTAATGTGACCACAGCAGCAAACTGGGGGATATTTTTTTATGTGGGATGTTTTTGTTTCATGTAATTTGCAACTAAAGATAACTGTCATAGACATCTTACATATTTAGCGAAAGACACACTAGGTTTCTGTAGTTCACTAACAGACTTGTTATTTGGCAGGATTTTATCTTTAAATGAATGCACCACAGCAAATGAAGCACCACAAAAACACCACAATCTTAAATGACAATATTCACATGCCCGTATGGACTTTGATACAGTTATTAGTCACTTTAATCATGCCTCTTATCCAATCTGGCCGGGAAGTGATCCCTTTCTAGCTCAACCTCATTGTGAGTGTGGCAAAATCCACAGTCCTTGCTTTGTGCGAAAATGAATCAATTTGAAATGTGAAGCTAATATGAGGCTTAAGCAGTCTGAGTTAGCCATATACTGGGCATTACTGGGTAATGTCCCAGTGTTGTAGTCTTTTAAGAACGGAATTTCCTCTTTGGGATTTACTCTTTCCCTTTATAGCTTATTACGACCATTACCTTTCAGTGTATAATAGATTATTCTTTCATTGACTTAAAGTTGGTTGGTCTTTAAGGTTAGAGTTAATGTTTGGTGCAGTAGAGCTGCTACACAAACCTGAAAGAAAGTGCTTTGTAAATGCTCAGTGTAATGAATGAAAGCTCTAAATAAAACATCAACACAGGCCTTATTCTCTTTTAGCTATATATTTTTAAGCATTCTCACACATGTGTTGCATGCTGCTTAATACTTCACAGTCTGCTCTGGCATGACCATGAACTCCTTGACCTCTAACCCCACAGAAAGTACTTCGGGGAGAAGATTGGCCTGTACTTTGCATGGCTCGGTGTTTACACTCAGCTGCTGATACCAGCCTCCATAGTGGGAATCACTGTGTTTGGGTACGGCGTGGCGACAGTGGATACCAATATACCCAGGTACCACAGCACATTCATGCATGCAAGAAAACTATTGTGAAGTCCCACACATTTCAGTTGAATTAAGGTACAAAAGATGAACAAATCCCATTGAAACTTGACATGTTTTGATGTCAGTTCACTGCAATCAAAATAATACTAGTCTGTAATAATAAAATACTAACATTTAAAGGATGCAGAAAATTAGGATTTCTCCTTACCACAGTTTAAATGTATGCACACATACCCGTACCCCACACTAGACAGGGATTGCCCAGATACCTGCTGTATCTGGCTTTAGTCAGGGTGTGTGGGAGGAACACAGAAGGTACGGCTGGCAGTGTGAGTGTGTCATGAAGCAAAAGGTTGATAATTCCACCTACACTGACTATGAATAGGGTCAAGCAGAGAAGCTTGTATTGTGATTTGGTGTTCCATTCATTTCTCATGGTTAAATGTAACAGACACGATGATCTCTGGGTCTTTTTACAGGGACAGAATCCACAGACCTCAAAGCAAAACTTTAGTTAATTATATGGTGCTTTTCCTTACCAGTACCTACTCAACTCGACTCGACTCGACTCGATTGTACTCGGTTTGGCCGTGCTCCGTTTTCCATTGCAGATAGTACCCAGATACCCCTCAATGTAGCTGGTTGTCATAGCAACGCCACACACAACTGCCGCGACGCAATTTTCAATGTGACACACACACCGGCGGTCCACACAGCTGTCTCTTTATTTAAGTTAAAACGTTTCACACATTCCTCAGAATGTAAAGACAGATAAGCGGTATGAAAACCTTCCAGCTGTAGCGGTCTGTGTGACGGCGGGAGCAAGGGCTCTGTGAGCGGGCGGCTGGCCGGCTCAGGCTTCCCCCCTGTCACTTCCAGAGCTCCCGAAAACTTTCAAGCGCATTTTTGTTCCGCCATCACTTTTCATAAAACTGTCAATATTCGAAATCTACACAGCTGATTTCTCACCTGTGATGAAATTACATACGAAAACTGTAAAATATAAAACTTTGTGTTGCTGGCCTCCATCTGGCACATGCAATGATGATGCAGTTAATAGTGACGATTCTCTCTGACCAATCAGTAGTCTGCTGTGTTTTCACGTCACATTTTGTATCGCCTCAGCTCGCTTGGAACCTCGACGGAGGTGATATGAAAAAGTGCCTGTTAGCAGGTACAGGTACAATTTGTCCACAATGGAAAAATAATCAAAGTCGAGTCGAGCCGAGTCGAGCTGGTACTGTGCAGTGGAAAAGGGGCTTTAGTGGCTTGCATTTAATACTTCAACTTCACTTCTAAAATGTCATTGCATTAATGTTGTTAGATATAGTGCTCTGTGTCTTAAGTCTTGATAATTCCCCCTCAGTCAG